TTTTAAATATTAGTATCTCTTACCTTATTTTAAAATTTAATATTTAATTTATAAAAATATATATTTATAGCGATAAATCCGAAACGGTACATGAAAAATTTCGGTATCCGATACGTACCATTTTAGCAGCAAAATTGGTACGCATACCAGTACGGTATTGATTACTTTGGTCTATATTCCCACCTCCCATATATTATCCCTACCCAACTGAAGTCCAGTGGCATGAAATATCTTAGATAAATGCAGGGGCTAGCTTTTACATGGTCGGTAGAGACCCTGCTGTTATGGCCATTAATTTGAGAAAGAGATTCACATGATGCTTGATCATGGAACAAGGTATATATTAAGCTCAGCTCTAGGACTTGAATGGTTAAACATCCTTTCTTTTAAGGTACACATAATATTTAGCATTCATTGTGTAGGCTGAAATTATGACATCACTCTGCCACATAAATAAATGAAATCGTTGATCCTTATCAATTAATTTTTATTCAGGTTGCTGCATTTGATAAGAACAAGGGTAATTGACATTATTTGATTCAATAAGGTGTTAAGCCATGTGACAGGATACGACATTTATAGCAGGCCTGCATGTGAGGGAGCGTGTTAAATGGGAAAATCCCACATCGAGTATTAAAGTAAGAAGCTTCTGCGCCAATTTGTTTTAGGTTGGATGCAAACTTTATGCTGAGTTCACATGCACAATTTTCACATAAAGGTTCAAAACTTCTTCATATTGGGCTCTTGAGATTCATCGTGCTTCAGCGGTTGGAAAGTGCCTTATCAAATGTTACAATAGTAACTTATTCATCTCTATGGCATGTTGCATATTGATTTTTGATAATGCTTTTGATTACATTCAAGCAAAAATTAAACATGTTGAACTATCCATGTCAAAAGAACCAGGTTATTTTATAATATGTAAGAAACATATCATATATAATCCATACAAATAGGATGGAGGAAAATGCGAATCAAATTACAAGATATGTATGCGGAAATTTAAAAAATGAATGAATTATAGTCTATACCGACAAAAAGGAGAAATTTGAAACAAATTACAAGATATGCATGTAGAAATTTAATGAATTAATGAAATAATATTGAAATTTGGAAGTATTATGTGTGTTTCTTCCACTTGAGATAGCTGAAAACAGGTCTCTCTGGCACTGGTATATATGCACTTGACGATCCAGCCAATGGGCCAAGAGACAACAGCCATGGCGATGCAGGCGCCCCATTGTCCCCAATTCAACCTCTCCGTACCTGCAAACCGCTTTAGAAACT